ATTCTACACGGACGTCTCTCTCTCTCTCTCTCTCTCTCTCTCTCTCGTACACAGTCAAATTAGAGTTCATAAACATATTTGATAGAAAAGCCTCTCCAAGAATTTTCTAGCATTGGAGATCATAAACATCTATGGCACAAATCTCTCTCTCTCTCTTTCAAAATCAAAATTTACTAGAAACTGGTTCCCGTCTGATAGTTCACCTAAAAAATTTGGAAACCACTATAAGATATCTCTGCACCCACCCACCCACCTAATCTTGTTGGGAGTTATTCTTTTGAAGATTGCAAGGAAGATGGCCTTGCAATAGAGAGATCGATGTTAAGATATGCAATGCATGCCACGAAAAACAGGAAAACAGCTGAGACCAACATCAATGGCTCTGCAAGCATAAATATTCGGTTGAACTTGTAGTGAACCTGCAACAAGAAAGGCCATATCCTAACCATTAAACCAGTTCATCTAGCGAACCACTTAGAGAGTCCTTTCACCATCATCATGCAAAAGAAACAGTGAAAATATAATATACATCAATAGCGTATGGTAAATGGTACACCTCTGCAGATTCCACCATCCATTCACAATGATTGATGGTGGAGATTGCTAACAGTTCCCGACATGAACAATCACACAGGTATGATTAATCTCCAACATCGATCATCGCAAATGGAGGGTGCATGCCTCGTGTGGCATACCATATATCAGATCTCAGTGACGTAACTGATAAAGAAACTAAGCTTTGAATATCCAAAAGTCATTACCTGAAACGGGACATTATGCTCGGGCACAATGTTTTTAGCTTTCAGGACTACAACAGGTCTTCCAATGACATCGAGATAAGAAAAACTTGTCTGAAATAGTTATGGAAAAGAGCAGAATAAGCAAGAACCTTCCCAAACAAAAGAATACTAGAACAACCCAATAAAAGCATAACAACTATCACAAACTTGATGGCTTTATCCAGTAAATGAGACATATTGCATTTCCTGAGAGAAGGAAATGCTTTAAATTTTCAAGAGCTATCATTTATACACAACCCCTCTTAGCTATTGGAGGTGGGGATGATAAGCACACTGTGTGTGTGTGTGTGTAGCTATTTGCAATAATGTAGATCATAAGGTTTCTGTTATAAAATGATTGCGTTGTTTTGATGATATCATAAATGTATAACCTATATAGAAAAGGGATTGTATACGATGACACCATTTACTTCGTGTACAAGGAGGTCACAATTACTTATAACCATCTGACGTGAAATTTGATAGCTTAGGTATATCACAAAGTTCGAGAAAAATTCTTTTGAACTTTGGGCATGGTCAATAGAATAATTGCAGCCATCCAATGGTCAAGAGTAATTGTGACTACCTTGTACACGAGGTAAGGGCCTCATTGTATACTTATTCTATAGAAAAGGGCAAACTAGTAAATGTACATATGTTGAGAGAGAGACCAATACTTCAACTATATTTTGTTAGGGGATGTTACCTCTTGATCCTGTTCCACTAGAAAGGGGACTTCAGCAGTTGGTACTTTGGATCCTTCAGGCAGCACAATCTGGAAAATATTCAATTTACCCATTTATTGTTCAGTCAGCCAAAACAATACAAGGTGGTAGCATCTAATAATAGATAAAAGGGTAAAGAATAGACAGAAGTACTCCTTGAGCTTGGGTGTTACAAATATTGTAACTTACTTTGATTGTCAATTTGTCGACGACTGTCTCAACAAAGGGGCAACCAAAAGAGAAGTTGAGGTAGCGTTTGCCTTCCTCCGTCTCAAAGAGAAAATCTTGCAATGGCAGGCTGTAACCTATGATGAAATGAGCCTTCCATCCTCCAAATAATGGGTATCTTGGTTGTATTTCAAGTTCTGACTGTTACGTGAAACTCAAATAGTAAATCAAAAAGAAAATAAATAAATAAAAAGGTAAAAAAAAAAAGAAGACAAGAGACTAGAGGAAGGACAGCATGCGAAAGATAATGGGAGGAAGGAAACCATGCTAAGACAACAGACTATGGAAGACCGTCGTCGATTAGGGCATGTTTGTTTCAGTGGAAAGCTCTCTCTCCGCAGAGTTCATTCCAGATAGAGCTCCCCCCTCCCCCACATTGGGAAAGTGCCTTCACACATATATAGATATGACGCCTTGTTCCCACCAAAATGCATTGAGCGCCACTTTGGCTGTGGAACACTCTCTACACACTATGCTTTCCCATGAAACAGAAATGGGAAAGCTGAAGTCCAGCAGGAAAGAATTTTCTTAGAGATTTCTTTCCCGTGAAGCATATGGCCCTTGAAGTTATGGTCAATGTTTAACAACTCGGTTCCACCGCAGAACTTGGTCCCTGGCCTGGCAGAGTTAATTGGGCGAGTTTGGGTCCACCCAAGCTGCTCAAAGAGGCCAAAATATGAGAAAAGAATAAGGAAAAAATCGATAAGAATCAGAAAACAGAAAAATTTAGAAAAATCATAGAAAGTAATGAAAGTATATACATGTATTATGTAAAGCATTAATAATGTTATTGGCTTAAAAAAAAAAAGAAAAAGAAAAGGGGAAAAAATAGAATAGAAAAAACAAGAAAAAACAAAATTTATTAAAATATATAATTATTATAAAAGAACTAAAACCTATCTAGTAAAATAAACCAATCTTATGAATTTAAATTGAAACAAATAACTTACCAAAAATTTCAAGTTGAACCTCCCAATCTTCACATTCAATGGAATTGATACCTCCAATTCTTGTCTAAGCTTCCTCAGACAACCCCAGTAAAGATCCCAAACCAGGTTTGGGTTTCATGTTCAGATCTAGGAGATCCAAGCCCTTAGAACTTTTGGATGAATAGTGAATCCAAAAATTAACTCATCAAAATACAATTCGTTTGAGCTTTTTGCAGGAAATTTGCCTAATATGGGTTGAAGAACCCAAAAATAGGCTTTATAATAAAATTTGATCAAAGATCGACTACCCGTTGCAAAGAAAACACAAGTTTTTAAAATAGGCCAAAGCCTAGGTCGAAAGCTTCAGATTCTGAAATCCATCAAATTGGGTTTTTTTCTTCTTAAATGTAATCTATCTAGTGGATTGCTCATGCAAAAAATAGTCAATAACTGAAATACAAGCTCAAATCAGTTCCTCCAAAGTTGTCTAAAATAAAATATGAGAGAAAAAAAAGGGGGCTGGTTTCCATCCCCTTTTAACTGCTACGGTGTACAATTGTCTGCCAAGAACTGTAGTGACTCGTCTGACCATTGTAAACTTGGGTGAGTCAGCTACCCAGATGAGTCTTACAATACTTGCCCAAGCAATGCACACTCTTTATTTATTTATATTATTTTATACCATCCCCCGAATTTTGGGGTGTCTCAGGTGAGTAACTCAGTGAGTCAAGCAGACTCACCTGAGTTTTCAAAACACAGGTCATGATCATCCAAACAAATGATGGATTGGAGACGAGAAAGAGTGGGATCGCCAGAACAGTACATGAAACTAATTGTAGGTTCCACTCTCTCCTCATCACCACGCATTTCATTGGAAGATTTTGAGCCCAATAGACTATTGAAAACCATAATCTATTGAACTATAGTGTATTTTCCTAAGAGGAAATCATCATTTTATCATGGATTAATTACCTGCAATGTGATCTTGCACCATTTTCTTGGACAGCAACAAATAAAGAAAGAGGGAATCCCTGATCTTTTCAGAAGAAAAGACCTTGATATATTCAAACCTCCAATTAATGGGATGACATAAAGTCATAAACACTTAGCATCTTACATTATGAAAAATATCTGCCCATCTTTTTTCCTTTAACTAAGATTTCTTCACCTTTCACATATTGCATTAGAGAAGGGAAAACGATAGGACATACCTTTTGAGAATCACCACGTAAGTGTGATGAAGAAATGTTTCCAATCTCATCTCTGTAGTAAACAGAATGAACATGAGGTGGTAATCTGGCCAACAGATGCTTCAACGATGACACACCACTGAAAGCTGGTCTTGCTTGGTAATCCACCCTGTCAATGCGAGTTCTCAAATGAACAAAAATTTTGGCATTGGTGTTGATTTTGAGCAACTAAAAAACTATAAAACTACCCAGTTGCTCTCAATTTTATCTGACCAATTGGACTGAGATGACATACATTATTTGATTGATTTGAGCAAAAAGATTGGGCTGAGGATGATATAGTTAAGGGGTTAGACTGAATAAGATAGATTCCTAATAAGAGTGTTCAGGCGACCAGCATATTTGCTTTTTTTATCGATCTGGCAACATACTAGTTGCTGCTCGAAATAACTGAGTAAAACCGAAATAATGTGGCCAAGAGTACTACTTGCTGCTATTACAAATAGTAAGAAAACATTTTGTTCAGAAATGCCAAAAGTGGTGTAAGTTCATCTGTCAACAAAAGATCCCAGAAGACCATATCATGGAATTTATCAAGATATTTATTCGGTCTGATTATGTTTCAAAAAGAATGGGTTTGTTGGCCACTCATGGGGATCAGGTTGAAACTTTAAACGGCTATACTACATGAATAAGCTTGAAAAGGCAATGTATGTTTCAGTTGTTGATGCATCATGCAATCTCCTAAAAGAAAGATCTTTCAACGAAATCATCAAAAGGTCGATATTACAGGCGGTTTCTTCGCCCTTTTCTAAGAAAAAGAATAATTTGTGATAGATAGTAGTAATTCATGGTTCAAACAGAAGATTATATTGACGCAAACCTTGAAAAAACGCCCTTGTGTCGAGCCCCCGCATGGACCAGTCTGTAATGCTCTTTTACCTGAACGCTTCCCCAATGTGATACTTCTATTCTGCGTATGAGTTCCTCAACAACTGCAAAAGGGTGATTGTTCTCAAAATGCACCATTATGGGGAGAAATGAAAAAGCGGGGCGGTCATTAAAACGACCATACTTCAATTCGGTGCCCACCACATTTGTAGGGTCCACTCTTGTGTATGATTCTATCTTATTGCTTGGAGTTTTAATATATGTTATCTGCTCTTTAATCTCATAAGGCGAGAGCAATACAGCACTGTCTCGATAATGGACAAATTGTGATTCAGACTGAGAGATCTCTACAGGAAAAGGCTGAAGTGAATGAGTAAATATGGTAAGAACTTCAAGAGTTATGCTTTCGCCATTGTTTAATGGCTTGGACAGTGACAGAGAGAATAGTTGCGTGCCTTTTGGGGCACTAGGTAATTTGGTGGGATTTACAGGAAGAGGACTGAAAGTTTTCTTTTTTCGTTTTCCTTCTACAAAAGATGCCTTAATAACTGAGAGATGTTCAGTCTCGGCTGGTGAAAAAGCAAGAAGAACTTCTGATGCAGAAGAAGGCCCTGTATTCTCAACCTGAAAGAGATGCATTAGCTTAATATAACAAACTGAAAGAGAGGCAAACCATTGCTAATTATGCAAGTAGAGGAAATACAGATAATTCATTGACAACAATGACAAGTTAAATTCATTCAACAGGAGAACTGGATTGTAAATGAAGGCCTAGTAAGTAAACACCTATATTACCTTTAAAGTTGTGTAAACTCTGACAATTGAGGAGGTCAAATCAATCTGCACAAATTTGCAGCCAAGAGATTCCATAAGCATCCATTTCAAAAGAAAAGGCAGGATGTCAGAGCATTTGGAAATGATGTCCATGGGTGACAATCTAATTGTACATGGCTAACTGAGAAAAAAGGACACCCGCAAAGCTGGTGCTGGACTACTTCAATTAATAAGGTAATACTGCATTACTTCAATTCATCATCATCATCATAGAAGCCTTATCCCAACTGCATTACTTCAATTAACAGATTAAAATCTTCACTTTCTATTTTCCCACATAACATTGCCATTAAATAAGGTTATATCATTGATATTCCCCCATACAAGAAAAAATTAATGACTCCAACTAATATAATTTACAGACTATTTAAGCATTTTTCATGAATTGAATTGCACCTACCTTCTCCTTGGTTTAAAACATTGAAAGCGGGATAACATCAGGGATCTGGGTTGACTATGATTAGAAAACAAGACCATTGCATCACACAAGAAGAGGGCACTTTGTAGCAGTTGGGAATGGTTTGTGGAGAGATTTGTGGCATATGGAAACTCTATGGATGTCTTGTCTATACAAATTCACATAGGTGCCAATGAGGGAGACTCTAGTGGTAGCCCTGTGATAGATGTAGCAATAGAGCATATAGTCCTTTGAGATGTTGCTTTCATCTTTTCTTTTCCTTTTCGTCTGTACATTCTTATCCCCATCAATAAATTTCATTATTGTTCAAAAAAAAAGAAAAGAAAAAGAATCAGGTGACACATTAGTGATCTTCGTGTACACATCTATGCAAGGGTTTATCCATACAAACTATTGCCATTGTGTGTGACTCACTAAATAATCAACAAAAGTTTGACTGGTATTGGAGCAAAGACTTCAGTTTCATAAGAAATTAAGTCATTTATGTATTCCATGTTGCAAGGAAAGTAAAAATTCGCAAAAATTTCACTGCTTCTCTAAGCATTTAGCTTACAGTTTAGACTTTAGCTACAAAACTATGCCTCAACATCACCTTTGAATGGCACGTTGACCTTTATGCAGCTCCATCCTAAAAATTCAAACAAGCCCAAATAGTTCAAGATCACTAAAGGTACACCATTAATTGGTCTTAAAGCTCAAATTTGAAGGAAACCCAAGTTCTCAACTCAGTAAGAGAGTTCTCTCCTTCCTTAAAGCTACCAGCTTCTCGCTTGAGTTTATACACACTAGCTCTATTGCATTGAGCAACAGACAAGTTACTCATTAGGTCGCATAATTTATTTCCAATAACAAAAAAAAAAAAGTTCAAGTTATCTCAAAATAGTTCACAAATTTTTTCGTTTATAGCTTCAAAAATTTTCTTAACATTTCCGTTCAAAAACATATCATCATCATCATCATCATTTTAGCCTTTTCCCAATTAATTGGGAAAAAAGAAGAAGAGAGAATCAAGTTAATGTGGGTTCTCTAGAAACCATAAGCCAACCCATCAGAAGTCATAATTTTCATTCCCCTTATTATAGCAGAGAGAATTGGCCTTATCCAGAGGAATCAATCCATTAAAAAAATTTCAAAAAAAGTATCTTTCCAATGAACAAGGGGAGAATTACAACAATATTAAACCTGCAAATCATCAGAAGCGGAAAAAATTAAAATTGTTCCAATATCATTCGAAATTACGATAAATAATTGGACACTTAAAGGATAACCACGGAGAACAATAGTATCAGAGCCCATTTTCCCCATTAAATCAACAAAAAATCAATTATTTGAGCTATACAAACAAAAAAAAAAAATCCATCAAAATGATGAATCTACGTCTAAACAAACATTGTTTCGAATCAGATGGATCTACGATGGAAAAATGAATAAAAAACGCTTACCCTGCGCTCTGCTTTATTGATCACGAGCTCCGAAGAAGCATAAGAGATTCCAAAGAGGAACAAAAATGGAAGCAGAATGAAAATTAGGGCAAAAAATCTGAGACGAGAAGCTCCCATTTTTGCACTCTGTTTTCTCTCTGTTATGACTCTAAGTAAACACATGAAAGTAAGCGCGGGTTAGGTTGAAATGACTATCTTAACCCTAAAAACTATACAAATGATTAAAATGCCCTTGAAACTTTCTACTTTGTCCTCAAAATGGTTAACACTTGACAGTTTTAGTTCGAAATGGCCGTTAACCGGCGACGGGTCTAGGAAAATCATAATCATTTGTACCACATTATTTGGGTAGATGAATCGGTTAAAATAGAACCGATTTAATAATCCAAAACCAATCAAATGTTGATTTTGATTTGTTTTTAATTAAATTAAATTTTTATTTTTGATCAAACCGGCTAAGATCCTGGTTGACCACCAGTTCCATATCGTGTTTGTGAAGCCCTGAAAGTTATAAATAACCAAAATGCCTTTAGTATTTTAGAACTATTCCCTTTATTTAAAAATAGGTCTAAGGTATTAAGGTGTCAACACTAAACTTTACAATAACCTGATAATCTATTTGAACTCCTGATTATAAAATTCAAATGTCTTATAAGCATATCCATAAGGAACAGGTTTACATTAGGTTGCAACCTTAAACAATCAAATCAAAGTGCACCTTTGAACATTATCATGAGATGCAACTTTGGCGTTAATAGTTCTTAGAATAATGTGATAATCTATTATTTATCTCTAGTTATAAATTTTTTAACTTAAAAAATGGTTCAAATCAAGTAATCTATAAATACGTAAAAATCTTGAAAATGAATGGTTCATTAATGTGTTGCAAGATGTTCTATTTTAAGATTTGAAATCGTTTTTTTTTTCTTCTTTTATACTTATACATCTCGACGTCGAGATAATCAATTAGATATTTTTACAATATTAAAACAATCTTTTTCAAAAGATTTTAGAGGTGCATCTTATTAGGAACACTTTTTCTGATAATTTGGAGACGCACCATACTTCTACCATGTTAGATTGATATCTTTACTTTTTCCATCCCCAAATTATGTTACGGTGACTATAGTAACTCCTTTTTGTATTCACTTAGGACCTAATGAGAATGGAACTTTAGATGTGAGATTGTGGCACTCACCACCTTGACAAGCTTTGCCCAAAGCTCTCTTTCTTGTGGTTTACATAGGGTCCTGCATTACATAATCAAAGAAAGTACAATTTCAAACTCTGCGCGAACATGCACTTTCAGTGTTGAAGATCCTTACGATGGTTTGAAAGATTCTTAATTATGAAATTCAAAGCTGAAAACATGTTTCTGTCACTAATTATGAAATTTAAAGCTCTAAAAATGGTGTAGATTGAAGATATCTATAAACAATTGAAAATTTTGAAAGTACATTGTCTAAATAATATGATACAAGATGAACTATTTTTAAGACTTGAACTTTTTTTTTTTTTTTATATATATGTCCTTGATATAGTTGATAAGAAGGTCTTTTTAGCATCTAAACAACCTTTTCTAATGGATTTTTAAGGTGCATCTCACAGTCTCACTTATATTGTAGAAAGTTCACTGTTTCCATCCTTTATCATTCTCGACAATCTCGTCAACCTAGAAGCAGAATCAGGAGAAAATGGACTCTGTGTTTGAAACCCTGCCAAATCCAACACCTAATCCCTTCTCAATTTGATGAACTTGTTTTGAAGGTATAGAAACTCTTATTCACCTCTGCAGCCATTTTACAAATCAAACTTCAACCTTAACCAATCAAAATAGGCTCACTTTGATTTCTCTTGTGAGATTACTATGATTGTTTGCTGGTGTAGTCTCACATATCAACCTTTGATTGTGTTCTCACTTGTGAACTTTAAACAATCAAAGTAAGGCGTCAACTTTACAAGGAAAACTATCATACAAGAAGCATATGGTTATCACTAATTTTTTTATAAGAACAACAAGTCATTATTGATAAGGGGTAGATTCATTTAAATTGTGTGAAAATATTTGTCTTTGTAAATACCAATATCTCTCTAATGAGTTAGAGAGGATATTGGTGTAAAAATATTTGTCTTTGTAAATACCAATATCTCTCTAGTGCATTAGAGAGGATATTGGTGTTCGAAAATACCGATATTGCATGGGTCGAATCATTTATATATTAGTGCTAAAAAATACTAATACCCACAAGATATTTAAAGGGAGATCAGTGTATGGAAACAGAATGTTTTGTGAAGTCCCTCAATACCCGTGAGATATTGGTATTAAAAAAAAAAAACAATAATTTGTAACTCCTTCACCCATTATGAATATACTTTAGTGTCTTCCTTTAATTAGGACAAAAGGAAATAGATGAAATGTCAAAGGGTGAAGTTTCAATAAGGCCACATCCTTATACGGCTTCACCTCATAAGTCCATCGAAAAGCTTAGCCCTAAACGATATCATGATGGTCTGCAAATCCATTTCTACGCCAAGTGTGGAATTTAGAGATCAGAAAATGGTGTAGCTCTAATTCTGAAAAAGGGAAATTTATGCTGATGTCGCCCAAATTTACCTCATAAAAACAAAAGAAGTTTATCAAAATACTTATTAGAGATGAACAATTTAACAATTCACCTTTATTGTCTAATTTAATTTCAAAATGCCCATCAAAATACATATGATCATGACTTGAAATAGTTGCAAATGTGCAAAATTTTAATAACGCATCTCTCCTAGGTATTTTGATAAATTTCTCTAAAAAAATCGCCATGAAAAAAATCGTGTACTTCACTTTGCACTTTTTTTTTTTCTCTTTTTCCCAAACTGGCCACACTGTCAAATTTCAAGACTGAAGTGATAAGGTACATGATGACTTTTTATTTTCAAATATTTTTGAATAATAACTTCAGCTCTTCAAGATCCAAAACCAAAGACTTCAAAATAAGTCATGGCTTTAGTAGTTATTCTACGATATACTTCAATATTTTTAAAGTCATTTCACTTTCGAAGCCAAAACTTATAACTAAAATGATATAGTCCTGTCATCAAACTTTGAAGGCTTGATGCCAGGAGATGATTCCGGAACCTAAAGTTCTAATGTCCCATTTTTTATTTTAAAAAGTTACTTCAAATCTTTATATTCAAAAGTTATATGTTCCTAAAGTTCTAATGCCCCATTTTTTATTTTAAAAAATTATTTTAAATCTTTAAATTCAAAAGTTATATGTTTTGAATATTAAAGGGCCAAAGTGGGGCATTATGGAAAAACAAAAAAACATGAGGCACCAATATATTATACAAAAAATCAGGGGAGTGTAAATTTCCCAAAACCTTAAAGGGACGGCATACGGACAGTGTTGCATGAAATTCTTTTCTTTCTTCTACCTTGTCCTCATCGATTAATGTGAAGACGGAAACACAGAGTTTCCATCACTAGAGATAAATTTTTCCAGCAAAATTTAGGATATGGCTAGTGGCCTTACAAAATACCTTCCCATTGTCAAAAATAGTGCATCTCTTGGCAATATTTTGATAAATTTCCCATCCTCCTATAATTCTAACAATCATTTACCTAAAATTTAAGATCACATAAAGAGTTGTCATACTTCACTTTTTTTAGGAAAGTAAAAATGTATAAAAGGTCCCAACTACACCTAACCATCAAATATGAAATTGGGCTATTGAGGGTGTACCATTAGTCAAGCTCGAAGCCCTTCAAAGTTTTCTTCGGACTTTTTCAAAGAAATGGTACACCACAACCAACAAATTTCACTTCTGACAGCTTGGGTATTTATAATATTTTTTTATAAGTGGTAAGCGTCTTATTGTTAGGGGTGGTAATGGAACCGGACCCGACCCGAGACTCAAAAGATAGATCCGATCCGGGTAGGACCCGGTGGGTTAGGTCCGGGTCCAAGTCCAAATCTTGGACCCGAACATTATTCAAATCCAGGTCCGGGTCCAATCGGATCTGGTAATATTTTTTTGATACCAATATATGAAATATATTTAAGTATAGTTAAATACATAAATATTTTAATTTTTGGGTTGGGTTCGATTGGATCCGGGTCTGGGTCCGGACCCGACCTGATCCATTGTCACCCCTAGCCTAAAACACATGCATGTGTGTAGAATTGAAGTCTAAGGCAAGTACACATAACAAAAATTGGATCGAGAGTTTACATTTAATCAAAAGGCTCAAAAACTAAAGTTAACACTAAAAAAGAGAAAAAAAAAAAAGAAAAAAGAGAAAAAAAAAAGGAAAAAAAATCTCAACGATAAAAATTTGATTCGGAGGGCCCAAATTCCATTGCTTGTAATTTGTACGAATCATAGTTCTAGCACAACAAAAGGAACAAAAAAGAAAAGAAAAGGAAACTGCTTTTGTTTTATTTTTTTCTTTTTTCTATGTAATAACAAATAAAATGTAGGAAAACAAAAACAAATTGAAAAAGAAAGAAGAAAAATAAATTGAATATCTTGTGAGCATATGTCTTCTCAAAGAATCAGCTGTGCATGCTTATCACTAGGGAGCAAGTTCATATTCACAGTTACCACAATTGGCATGGTTTCTCTTTCTTTGTGCACCTGCAGCCACAAATCATAGAACTTTACTTATAGGGGCAATTTTATCTTTTTATAAAATTGAACTATTATGGATTTATTTTTTTGATAATGAAAAAAATGGATTTGTACAATAATATCTCGAGCAGGTAACACTTGTTTGGATATATGTAAACAGTAGATATTTTGGGTAGAACTAGAGGCAATTTTATCATTAAAAAATGGGATTCTATACAAACGAGACCATTTCCCTTTCATACTAAGAGGTCACAATTGTTTATAACCATCCGATGTGAAATCTGATAGCTTGGGTATTATACAAAATTCGAAAAAATATATTTTGAAGTTTGCAATTGGTCAATGGAATAATGCAACCATCAAATTTTACATCCAATGATCAAGATTAATTGTAACCACCTTGTACCAAAGGTCAATGTTCTCATTGTATACTTTTCCTTTTAAAATAGTGGAAAAAAAGGGCATCTTTTCAAAACTAACCTTCTTTAGGATCATTTTCTAATTAAAAAGGATATGTATGATAGCTTCCCTTATTATTATTATTAATTTTTATGTTAAACTTGCTGATTGTTTTTTATAAATCAGGGTTTAACTCACTTGAGAGGCTGGTAATGGCTCCTCACTTTGCTTCTTCTTGCTTTCATATACACAGAAATAAGAGTAGAGACCCATCCCAATTATGGCAACTGTGATGCCCAAAATGTTTCTATATGTGAAGGGATCATGAAGAAGGGTGTAGCCAAAGGTGAGAATCAAGCATGTCTTGAGATGGCCCAACACTTGGTATGTCACAGGAGATGTCTTCCCTATCACCAGGAAAGTGCTAAAGTTGACAGATACTGCTATTATGCAAGAGAGAATGATGAAAATCTGCATAATAACATCAAATAATCAGAATTATACCTTACAGTGTGCACACATAAATGCATAAAGACATGCATATGGATATACATACATACATGCATGCATATAAGCATATATATATATATATATATATATATATAGTTGTATATGCATGCATGTGTACTTAAATATATATGTACCTATCCATAGATTATGCTTCTACGGGAGCATATACTGTGTACTATGGGAGCGTATACTGTGTACTTACTCTCTCGGGGGAAAGAGCTACTTGGGAGGATTTTTCTTTTTTTAAATCTGAAAATTTGGGTTCCACTAAAAATTCACCAAATCATAAAGATTGGATTTTGAGTTCTCCATCACTTAGATCTCATCAATTAGACAGTCCCTATTCATATTTGAGATGTTACTTTTTTTTTCAGGTACATGCACTGAGCAACTTGATTTTTTTTTTTTTGAGGTTAGTCGCTAGTTTGCAGAGGTTGCATCACCAAAATTTCGGTTCTAAAAGTATTCCTAGATTGAGTTTTACCTGAGGGAGTAAATGGACAATATGCTTCTGCAGGAGCATAGAATCTTTTGACTATATTTATATGTGCATGTATGGGCATACATATATATACATATATATGAGCATGCACGTATACATTTAGACACCTATATTAACATGCATGCATACACATGCCCCTACTCATATAGTTGCATACATACATACATGTCTACATATATATGTACATACACACATGCATGGACGCACATATAGATGTGCACATACATAAGAGACACATATATACATCCATACTTGGTACATATATGTATAAACGCATACATTCACATATACATACATACAAAGCCTGATTCTTTTCTCAAATCTAACCTAACTTGAAAAAAAGGATAAAAATACGTACAAACTTACAGGTATACATACATAAATGCATGTGTGCATGAATAGACCATTCCATTTACGCCTATCCACAGCAAGATGATCGTAATGGATGTATGGTTTATGTACATGCATGCATGGGTATGATGTATACATTTACATAAATGGAAGGGGTTTGAGAAAGTACCACAACAACAGGGGAATATTTGTAAGCAAAGACATATTTCTTTGTGAGGAATTGATCCACAACAGGACCGGCCACAAAAAGGATGGCTGCTTGATAAGGGGCTGACTGGTACAAAAGTTGGGTTGATGAAACATTCAATCTCTTTTGTATAGTGTTTGTCATCTAAAATTTTGGGGAAAGAGTTAAGGAATACATTCTCATTCAAATGCATTTTGTTTGACTCATGTATTGGCGGTAAAATGGAAACCACATATTAAAGAGGGGAGAAAAAAAGTGTAGACAGGAAAATGGTTTGGTAGGGCTGCAGCCTTATCAAAATAAGTAAAGCCTCACTTTATAACTCATTAAAAATTACAATTCAAGCATTGAAAGATCTTTACATCGGTTCAAAAGATTTGTACTATTTTTTGAAGTTTCAAATTTCAATGTCGGTATTGGAAATTGATTTTAGAGCCATCATGTAGATTTTTGTTGCCGAAAGTGCTTTCTGATGAGAATTGAGGTGAGGCTTTATTTTGTTTTTACAAAGCCTAGGCCTTCCGTGCAAAAACCCCCATTTTTTTTATTGAGAAATGATTCCATTTTTATTGTTTCCTTAAAATGATGGGAAGGAAAAATAATGGAAAATATTTTTGAAATTGAATAAATAAATGTTAGTGACCAACTTAGTCAAATTGGATATTATGTAAAGTCAGTAAATCAAAGCAAATAATATGAAATAAAGACACAATTTAAGCGACGCATAGCGCCTCATATATTAGGGTAAATTGATAGTAATTATTAAAAGATACTAAGTATTAACAAGAAAATAAACAAATAAGTCTAGAGGAATTTTTTTTTATTGGACAAATGATCCATTTTGATCCTTTTCCTTAAAATAATGACAAGGAAATAATAAAAAATATTTTGAAATTGAATAAATAAAATGAAAAGCAACATAGTGAATTTTATAAAAATAGTTAAAAAAATAATAATTATTTATAAAATAAGGATACAATCTGCGCAACGCATGTTGTCGCGATCGCCAGCAAAGAGAGAACTGAGCCGAGAAGATTGAGTTTCAGATCTGTAACAGACGCAATGCCGACTCCAACAAGCAGGAGCATGAGGGAAAATTTAATCTTTTGACTGCAAATGCCAAAAAAAAAAAAAACAAACAAACAAACAAATAAACAGTTAGTTCAACTTAAAAGCACAACTTTTGCAAAAAAAGGGGAAGCAATTGACATGTGAGAAAAGAGAATATATTACTTTTGTCTTAATTTCCCTTTTTACTCTTTTTTTTTTTTTCCTTTAAATTTTTGAACACTTACCTGAATTGCTTGTTGAGAAAGATGGTCTCTAAGAGAACTGTGAAGGGTATGATGGCTAATTTCGTCATCTGAAAAAAAGTAGGTATCAGTAAAATATTTGAAATTTATGGTTAGGGAATTACTTTTACCTACCCCAAGAAAAATAAAAAATTTAAAACTAGTGTTAAAAATTTGTTAAATGTAACAAAGTTTTGGATGTTGGTGCAAAAGATGTGTAGGAGCAAATCTAGCGCTATGTTTAGGGCTGCCAAATGGGTCGGGCCTGGACGGCCTGTGGACGTTTGGATTGGGCCTGATTTCAGGCAGGACTTGTACAACACATTAAGCCCCACGGGCTTAACAAGGCCTATCTATGCTAGGCCTTAAGGAATTGTGGGGCCGTGTACGTATAAGTTTTGGGTCAGGGAACATTATATGTGTCTGTGTTTGTGTATGTATTGGCCTAGTAGGTCATTTTTTGAGTCAGGCTCGGGCTCGGGCTCGGGCTATGTCTGCCTAACAAGCAGTCGATCCACATATGCTAAGGCTAAGGCCAGATAAACCCACATGATTGTCCATTAGTACACAATATTTCATTTTTGTCTTTACATATGAAGTAGGTTTTTAAAAATGGAACGAGAAAGTTCAACACCAAACTGGTGGGTGACCTGCCTACATCCCTAGCTAAACTAGGACTTAGACCGAATCACCCAAAAATCACATGTTAAGGTATGAAAAATACTTATTTTAGAATGATTAGAGGTTCCCAAACTTCATTTGAACTTTTAAAACTTGGGGGAATTACATACGGATCTTAAAATTTTAGATAAAATATGAAATACTCCACATATATGTAAAAATTACAAAGAAGGCCGGTCGATCCTTTATTTTTTTATTTTTTCCAAAGGAAGATACTACAAAACGCCTAGAGGCGAAAATGAACAATGATTTCGCATATCCTCATCACCGTTCAAAATTCACTGTACGGTACGATTGTCCAGTAGTGTTTTATTTTTCATTTTTTTTTCTACAAATCAGAATGATCTGAAATTTGGAGCTTGTGTTCATAAAAAATAAACGGATCTACAAAAAATATCAATAAAATATTTTACATGAAATAAAATATCCAAAATACCCCCGAAAAGCTTCAGGGTTATTTTTGTCAAAATTTTTTGTGAATTAATTTTTTTATATTTTTATTAGGTGCGCTTCAATAAGATGTACACACACTCTAAATTTTAGATCATTCTGATTTGTAGAAAAAAAAAAATGAAAAATGAAACACTACCAGACAATCGTGACCGTACGATGAACTTTAGACGTTGATGATGGTAGGCAAAATCACGATTCATTTTTCCCTATAGGTGTTGGGAAGACTTTTCCATAAAAGTACCTCTCGATCAACCCGAATTATAATTTTTGTTAGTTTTTTTGTTAGTAGGGCAGTATCCATGCTTTAAAGCTCTGCCCTACTAACGAAAAAACTAAAAAAAACTAAACAAACCAATAAAAAATCGGGTTGACCTAGGGGCAATTTTAGGAAAATAAAAAAAAGACGGTTGATCAACCTTCTTTATAATTTTTGCATATAAATGAAGTATTTTGTATTTTATCTAAACTTTTAAGGTCTATACGTAAATCACTATTAAAACTTTGTTATTTATTTATTTATTTTATTTTTCTTAAGTTGGCTGAATTGCCAATACTGACTCTAATGTTTCACACATTTCAACCAAGAACCAGTAGGTGATCGGTTCAAGGCACTGATCCGATTTTTTAAAAACTAATATGAAGAAATTTAGAAAGCTACTCCAACCTTAAGAAGATTTACTTCAAAGCAAAGCATAGGGCCCTTAAGAAGATTTGCTTCAAAGCAAAGCATAGGGTTTGAGTTTTCATCTAGTTGTGTGGCCTTTTTTAGGTAGATAAGTAGGGAATATGGTTTTCAAATGTGTTAGTGGGCATAAAAACCAAACTGAAGCTCAGATGGTGATACCGCCATGACCTCAACCCTATTCCCATCTAATCGTGTGGTGCATGTCAAAGAAATATAATACCACCTTACTGTAAGGCTACTCTAGATCAAAGATTACCATTATGGTCCTATATTAGCATCTTGAGAAACCCAACCTGGTAGAATCCAACAGAGTTGAACCCAAGACTAAGGTTAAGGAGCCCAATTGAAACCCCATTAAGCAAGCCAAAGAGCACCACAGTCTTCGTGTCTGTAGATTTGGGTTCAAAAAAGTTGAGGCGTTGAGCCACATGAAGAGTGAAAAATGTGACCATCAAATGCCAACTAGTGAGGGTTGTAGCTGCAAAGACAAAAAGATTGCAAGGTCATAAGTGAAAATTCAAGGGAAAAGAAAGAAAAAATTGTGGGATTTGAATAGGTTGCAGTTACATGAGGCCGCGGCTTTATGGTAAAAATGTAAAATTTCACTTTTAGACGCCAAGCAAAAATGTAGTTTTGGCACTAAAGTTTCATGAGGACGTGAAATTTTTTATCGCAACTGATTGTTAAATTTCAAACTCCTAAAAATAGTGCATATTTGGAATTTCAAACTCGCATAAATATTGCAGATTTGGAAGATATGTGAGTACTTAAAAATGAACAATATGAAGAACGTGTTGCAAAATACATTCTTTTTGGCGTTAGAAGTCCAACATTTTTTAGATCCAATATCGTCGAAACAGAGATCGTTAATTTGAGGGTTTCCCGATGAAATTTGTGCCCCAGATTTAAAAAGCCGCGGTTTTACACTAATATTTCCCTTTTGATCAATGACAAAATCATATGCCATCTGTCTATCGTGGAGCTTACTTTTGGCTATCCAATCAAAAATCAAATAGTTATTGGTCTCTAAACAAATGTGAATATAAATATACATATTTATTTTCATTTTAATATATAGGAATTAGGGTATTGTCTGTGTTTGACTGAATAGCCTCAACTTTCAAGTCAATGACATCTTACCAAAGGGGAAGCCAAGAGAGGTTATAAGGGCTTTATTGCATATGACAATGGCAACTGATGACAAAACTGAAAGGCTCAGGGCTCCAAACACACCAAGCTGAAGCTCATTCGTCTCTGTCATTTTCTCTCTCCTCACACTAGAAAAAGAATTAATTCCCTGCAATAAAAAGAAACTCTCATATCAATCCTCTCTTATTCTTTTTTTATATCAATGTTAATTTGTATCTATCATGTCAATCATGCATTGAGAACCATTTTGATAGGTTCTTGAAACAGGGAATAGTGAGGCAGGCTAGATATCTAATAATGTCCAATGGCCAGCATGTCTGGTTTATTTATTTATTTAATTTTCTATAAATGTTTTTGAGCTGAATTTTGTAAGAAAGTGCATAAACCTAGGTGCACAAGAAAAAATTAAATCACAAGCATAATTAAAAATACAAAAAATGCCTCACATATAACAGTAAATATGCGCCATCTAGATAGTTAAATCTGGAGTCTGGACCATCCAATCTATACTATAGCACAAGCCAGCCGGCTAACAATATCAAGTTCTCATACACATCTAAGATATATGTTCGTCAAGGCTAATTTAATGAGCGGAAAAAGACAAATAAGACAAATTGAACTATCTAATTCAACTTGTTTCTAAGTATCTGACCTTGATCGAATGACTGTTACTCTTTTTCGTACGACTAGAAAAAGCTTGTGTGTTTAAACAAAGCAACGTTATTAAATTGCTCCATATTTTAAACTTCAATATAAAAACTGCAAAAGACACTATACAAAGTCTCTATTCCATTCTCTCTCTAAATGTAGTCTTTAGTTCATTCTCTCTAAAAAATATCATTTAAGGGGATGGAACCTCATACAAAATTATTAAAGGGGTTGAATTTTACCTATTAACATTTGAGATTGTCACTTTTTTTTTCTCATTTCACTTATGTACCTCTCCAAAACAAATTTAAAAATTTGTTCAATTGCACTTATTTTGTATTGGGAGCGACAGACAATCAAAGGTGTTCTAAAAATTTCAACCCCCATATGCCCTGGCCGAACAACAAATATAGTAAGTTGTTCTTTATTACAAATGAGGAGTATACTCTTCAGGATTAGTGATAAAGGACAACAAATGGTATTTTCATCATATGTCACCTAAATGCTTTACATATATAAAATTACAAAAATATCCTTACTAATCCTGAAGTGTATATTCCTTATTTCTAATGAATAATAACAGGCAGTATTTTTATCATTTTATTATGGCAACTTGGTTTAAGAATTTTTTTTTTTTTTTCATAAGGTACCTAGGTTAAATAAGAAAAAAAAGAGCGAAAGTAGTAGTATATAAATAATTTTAATGATATTTTAAAAAGGAAAAAATTACCTTGAAATGCAGAAAGTGCACCTAAAAAACCATTCATAAAAGACTGTTTTAAAGTTGGAAAACCCTCTAATTGATTGTCTTAATATCAAAATATCTAAATATGAAAAAAAAAATTCCCAAGTCTAAAAAATAATGTATTTTACACTACATTATTTCGACCGTCCATTTTCCAGATTTTCATCTATTTATTGATCTACTTGATTTGAACCATTTTTTAAAGCTAAAATTTTATGATTAGTGATAGAAAAAGATATCCAAATCATCCTAAAAACTTTTTACACTAAAATTACATCTTATGATATAATTTGATGGTGCACTTTTGATTGTTTCAAGTTGCAACCTTATACAAACCACACCCAAAAAATATGGCATTTATACACAGGCTGTATTTCTTTTCTTGGATTCTCTTTTTTGAGAAGTTAGTCAGTACTTCATTCTCTCTACGTTGTGAAAAGAAAGTATACTCTCGGTCTACGTTGTGAAAAGAAAGTATATATCGTATATCCGATTAATATTACAATATATGCCTTCCATATTAATGAGATGTACAATATATACTTTCCTTTCAATATATACCTTCTATATTAACCCCTCATACTTTCCTTTCGTATTCGTGTCCAAATATACTCTCTACTTCATTCTCTCTTGCTTCTCTCTATCTCTCTGCTCTTCGATATTTAGATAAACAAACCCAGTAATTATGTAGTGTGGATGGAGAACAAAAGGAAGCATGAGAGAGAGATTGTATTGGTTCAATGAAGAGCAACTATGCATTCAGAATAATATCAAGAAAGAATATGATGCTTTAGAGAGAGAATCCCACGCCTTAGAAAGAAACTCAAAGAGAGAGAGGGAGAGAGTTCCAAATCTCAAGGAGAAAGAATTTCAATCCTCAAGGAAATGGCAATGCAACTTAGAAGGAAGACAGAGAGAGGGGGGTCTCAAACCTCAAGGAGATGTCAATGCAAGTTGAGAGAGAGACATCAATACAAGTTCAAACTCAGAGACATCAATGGAAGTTCATATAGAGAGAGAGAGAGGGAAACCTCACAAAAACGGAGAACAAAAAGTTGTTTGTTCAGAGTCTAGGCCTGCAACTCCATTTGATTCCGTTAAATGTCGACCAATTCGAGCCTCCCCCAAATGCTTTCTCACCTCACAGCTACTCGATCTTTAAAGCCACCCCAAATGTCTCTCTCTCTCTCTCTCTCTCTTGAAATATCTCTCTTTCTCTCTCTTAAAAGGCTAATGGCTTCTTGGAGATCGAACACTGCTCTCTCTCTCTCTCAAAATGGCGGATGCTTGCTTTGCGCCCATTTTATGCGTAATTTCCCCCGTTAATAGCGTTATTTACCGCCGTTAACTTCCTTTTTAACGGCGATCGCAAGAGACGTCAACGCGACACGTGCCAATTCGGACGACGGAAACACCTTTGACACAAATAATAGTAGACAAATAGGGAAAAATATCAGAACTGCCCAGACTTAAGAATACTCATTTCGAAATTGCCGTGAGTTGGACTTAAATAACAACATTAGCCTTGGATTTTAGATTTCTGAAAAGATTTTGTGTTCCCATAAGAGCATTTTCTCATTTTGCTCGCTAGGGTAATACCCAGTCTTAGAACTATTTTTAGGACCCCCAAATTGTGGGAACATAACCTTTTGAATCCACCCCACTAATCTCACAAAAAAAATAAAAAAATAAAAAAATCAATAGGACTTTTTAAGTGCTAAAAAATAGTTAACATCCAAAAATTGAATAGTTGGGACTGTCCAGTTTTTGGATGGCTAGATCTATGTTTTCAAAAACTTAAAATTTATTCTTTAAAAATAATTATTTGAATATTCTTAGTTAGATTCCAGAAATTTAAATAAATAAAATCTTCTAAATACTCCTTTGTCCTGAGGGAGCAAATGGACAACATACTACTAATAGAGCAGCGCCACAGTGCGCACTGGAGCATAGTGTGTGGGCTATTCGGATTTATTTGTCTGAAAATTCTTTTTTGCTTTTTTTCTTTTCTAGAATATCTTTTCAGAAATTTTATGGACTTCTCATGAGATATCTAACTTTCTTGATTTTTTTTGCCTCAATTGAATGCATTTACTCTCTCAAATAAAACAGCAATATGGGATGAATTTTTTAGCCTTTACTCTCTCAATTAAAAGAACTATTAACGATGATTTTTTAATTTGAAATTTTGGGATCCATCTAAGAATCACCATATGATTATTACTTTTGGAAAAAAAAATTAAATTTTGAGTTCTTTAACGCTTACATCTTACGTTAAAAAAATCGGATGGCGTGGGTTCGGAAATGGTTTTCTTTCAGGCACATGTGTATGTGATTTGAAAAATTATTTGTTTAAGGTTTGTCTATGAGAAGTTACATCCCTAAAATTTGGAGTACTAAAAATTATCCTACGTTGAGGCGTAGATTTGAGGAATTGCTTTTTACTCAGGGGATTAACAAGGTTAAATCCCCAAAATTAGGGTTCCAAAGGATCTCCCGAACATTACATTTTAATCGGGAGAGTAAATAAATAGCGTGCTCTTGGGGGAGTAGGAAATGTCTTGGACTCATGACTCTATCTCTCTCATTCCCTAAATTATTATTGCTATTATTATTAAAATATTTTCATTCCCTAAATTATTATTGCTATTATTATTGAAATATTTTCATTCCTTAGAGGGTAATATTAGTAAAAAGTTTAGATGATCAATCTTTGTACACAAGCTAGGCAGGTGAGAGAGAGGTTTTCTTTGTGTAAAATTCCTGAGAATGCAAGCAAAGGTTTGTAGCCTCAAACCTAGTGGCATGCTGCTCCTCATCCTATTCACTCTATACTCTCTCTCTCTAAACTCTCTCTCTCTAATTTTAGAGATGTTTGGTGCTATGCTTCCTATTCACTCAAAACATTTAGTTTTCACTTAATTCAATCTTTCTCTCTCTACAGGGTTAGTGCCTCCAAACCTAGATGGTGTTTGGTGCTATGCTTCCTACTCACTCAAAATACTCCTTTACACAATTCAAACTCTCTCTCTCTCTCTAAATCATGGGTGGATCCCCAACCACATTCAAACTCTCT